TCACACCTACTTTCCAGAGCTATTTTGGCTTAAGGTTCCTCACCCCAAAATCATTGAAGCCATGCCCCGCTGCACCGATATCGACGATGTGCACTTGGAATGGGATGCGGATCAAACATTGAGGGATTTCCTTCGTAATGGGAATCAAATCTTGGAAGCTCCATTGTGCCAAGACATCTCAAGTTGCATTAAGCATGAAGCCCTGTTGATCCCCATACTTCAAAAAATGGCTGAGCGGGAACATCGTGATTTGCCAGCCATCGAACAGGTGAGGTACGAACTTGAGGAACTTCTTAAGAAAAATAAACAGGGAATGGACTTGCAGTTTCAAGATTTGTCCAAAAAAGCTTGGGCGTTGAAAAAACTCCTGGGATTTCTGAAGATGAAAGCTCGTCGTTGGGAAGTCTCTACCGTGACTCAATCGCAATTACCATCATGCAAATCCATATGTAGAAAGTTATCAAAAATTATCAAAACCCGTGGTTTCTATTATGATAGCAATTTTGAATATCACTGTTCTCAACGAAACTCTCTACCAACAATGAGGTGAGGAAGTTCCAACGTCTCGTGCTGATTTTGGACCCACTTCTTGAGGCGGGTCATGATTGCAAAACATCAACAGGTTCTTTGCCCCCGTGGGTCCAACCTTCTTTAGTTTTTTGCATGTCAGCGGCGCAGGAGGAAGTGAGAAGGGTCAACAAAAGGGCGGAAGAACGATTGAGAAAGCGGGGGAGGAAGGACACACTGGGTCTTGGGAAGTGGGGTGTGGCGGGGTTTTATGTTATCGGCTCGCTTACCTTGATTGATGAATTTGTGTTTATAAGTGTTGGTCTTCAGTTTTTGTTTTTCCCCGCATGAGGACATGAGACCTGATGATGAGGATGCTTGGGATTCATCTTCTAGTAGTGAGTCGGATGCGGACAATGGAAATGACGGTGATGTCGGTGCACCTCCGGGTTCAGGGTCAGATGACGCCCATTCAGCTGAAGCAGCTCCACCAGCCCCGGTTGTTGAGGTTCTTCCAGTTGAGGCGCCAGCAGTGGAGGTTGGTGCAGTTCCGGCACCTTCAGCTGAGGTTGCTCCACTTCCAGCACCTTCAGTTGAGGTTGCTCCAGTTCCACCACCTTCAGTTGAGGTTGCAGTTGCTTGCCCCGTTCCATCCCAACCTGCAGCGTCTCCAACTTCAGTTGCTACCACCCCCAGTCCTGCCTCCATTGGGTCAAGTTCATTACTCAGTTTGTTGTGGTTTGGGTTACGGGGTTGAAAAATTGTTTGTCAACTTGTTCATGTTTCACCACATGTGTTGGGTTTCATTTCCTTTCGGTTGCTTGATTAAGGTGACGCCCTGCGAGCTAAGCGTGCTGCAATTGAGGAGAAATTGGCAAAGTCTCTTGGAGGAATGGAGTTGTTGGATTTCCTCTTGGAACTGGTTCCATGCATCTTTGGGTGTTGAATTCGTTGCCTCAATAAGTCCCATTAGTTTCTGAATGTTTCTGATGTTCAAGATATGCCCATTGGTTCCAAAGGCTGCGTGCAGCAAAACTTGCTGCCACAGCGTCTTCTCCACCTGCTTCAGCGCCTTCAACTTCTACCAAAGGACCCTTTTTGGTTGACAATTGCATTTCCAAAATTGCATCTTGCTGATTCCAATTCAACATGTTGATTCTGATTTAGTGTTAAATATGTCTAATAATAGCCCCTGGCAGGAGTTAACGGGCCATGTACCGACATGGTGGAGACACTGCCTCTGGCTGATATTTTTGAAGCCCCTGTTCCAGCATCGCCTCCAGTTCCAACCGTTGAGTCACCCTTTTCATCAGCTACTGACAAGCGTGCGCAATTTCAAAGCATCAAGAAGGGGAAGGGAAAGGGTGAGGAGACCTTGGAATTGGGTGCCACACCTAGCCCAGCTAAAGGAGAGTTGGACTCCAAGAAGGGCAGCGTCGAGAAGGAGAAGATACCGGATGATTTCACTGAGGATGAGGCAGGGGGTGGGTAGGTGGGTCGGAGTCTTGAAAGTCTACAATGGAGATTCCAAAGCTATCAATCCAACTCCCACCGAAATGTTTTCTACATGTTTCGTACTTTCACCGCACTGCTTCAACCAATGTGTTTCTCTTACTTCTCAAGTTGCTATATGTCCTGGGTGGTTTCAATTGGCGAGGCCGATGATGACTTTGTCAAAAGGCAGGAGCAGCTCAATCTACAGCCAGCTAAGCGAGGAAAAGGCAAAGGCCGTGGTAGGGGTCGAGGTTCAACAGCAACCAAACGGAGTGATCATGATGACCCAGAGGTTGAGGTTCCCGAAAAGAAAAGAAAAATCGCCACACCGCAGACCTTTTGGACCGATGATGTCTCTGAGGAGTGGGCTAGGTGCAAGGCTATGTGGGACAAGGAATGGCAGGAGGAGGAAGTGTGGGGTCAGGAAAGCTGGGGCCAATCGTCTCAGGCTTTTGATCACTATGCGCACTTGGATGGGCAGGTATCCTTGCACTCACTGGTCGCTGCTGAAGGTGACGGATGTTCAGGGGAGGGAAAGGCAAAGAAGGTTGAAAAGGCACCCAAGAAAAAAAACACGAAGAAAAAACATATTGAAGTCTTGGAGGAAAAGGCGGATGATTCAAGTGTTGAGAGTGAGGAGGAGACTTGTCACACAAACCAAAAGGAACAGGTCAAAGCCATCGCCCAACATATCAAGGATGTTCTTGCATTGGGCATTCGGGTCAAGAAGTTTGAGGATCTGACAAAGCAAACCAAAGATCGCCTGAGAGAACCTTTTCCCAACACGGATGAGTGTCGTTACACCCCGTACTGGAACCGCCCAGCCTGTGGTTTCTACCTCAAGTCTGAAGGGATGGATGGGGGTTGCTTCTCCGTGCAAAGTGAACATGGACCATACCTTCATCGACTTGTTGCTTCCATGAAAGCAGCTCAATTGATGGCCACTTGACATCAGAAAAACATTGAGATTTTGAATCACTTCGCTCATGTTCACACATAGATGGGGTTTCACAACTGTGATATGTTGCTTACTTTATTGACACTATGGTTTGAAGATAAAAATCTAGTCATAGTCTCTTATTGGCCCCCCCGCCGGCTCAGGTGAACTACATCGAGGACATTACCAACAAGTCACGCTCAAAGGATGACCGGGTGAGTGAACATGGTGATTTTCCAACCATGAAAGAAACATTGAAACAGTCATCAATGAAGGCTGTGCAGCGTGTGGTCAAATCCACCAAACGCTGATTGTTTCTATGGATTTCTGTTAGTTTGTTGTGATGTTGCACAACTGGCGATGCTGAACAATTTTAGGGGGTTGGTTCCCAAGTTGCAAACAACTTGGCCACCGGGGGGTTTGCAGTGCAAGAGCAGAAGTGCTGTTTGTGCCTTTGGCTGGGACTTCCTGAACATGATATTTATTTAAATTTGATGGGTCATAGTCTTCTATAATTAATTTCCGCTATATAACTCGAAAGCTGATACACATGTTTTCAAACAAAGGCTGAACTCTCATGTATGTTTACATGTTTTCATGGTCTATATTTTTCATCGGTGTTTCATGTCATGATTACTCAATATCTTCAAATATTTGGGGGTCCCTGCAGGCTTACATTTAGTGAAGTCTCAATCTTGGCCTCGTGACAACGCAAAGTGTTCATGAGTGGATTTGCCCAGCCAGTGACTATTTGGAAAGTATGGTGAATGTTCAAAATATAATTCGAATTAATTCGACTTAGCTTTTCAACCTCATGGTTTGTTTGAAGAATATGTTTGCTTCCTTCCGCTGTGTGTCGTGTGTCACTGAAGCTGACTTCCACGGCCCTTTAGTGTGCATCACGTGGTGGGGTGCGTCAAGAAAAATGTTTGACGCATGCTGGGGGTCAAGCCTCGCTCTTGGTTTATTTGACATGCCAAAAGCCATCATCGTTCAATCAATGTTGAACCATCATCATTCACCCGTTGTCTCTTACCTCCCATGTAGCTTCAAACTAAAACCATCACCCCCATTTACAAATCTGCACCATGGCCGGTCCTCAGGTCCGAAGAATGAAAGGGCGTCATCGACGAGACCTTTGGCAGTCCCGGTCATGCAAGAAAGGTACGCCCCAGCATGTTTGGAACCGGGAGCGGTATAGCATCACCCACAAAGTCAACCACCAATTGGTTTTAAATTGTATCGTGGGGATTCATGGTCCCATGTGCTCCAAAAACTTTCAATTATCAGAGCCATTTCGAAGGTGGACATGTGTACAGCGATCACGGCATGAACCATCAGGAACTACCATGAACATGGTTAAGAAACTAATGGTTGGTTTGGAAAATCTTAATAACGGTGTGATTTTAGAAATCTGTGATCATCAGTTATTGACCAGTAGGATCAACCAACTTAAGATACCTCAAGATGATATATCGAAGAAATTCGCCAACCATGGTCATATTGGAAATACCCTTTCATTCAAACATCCTGCTGTCACCATGGACGCTGATGCGCTGGTCTGGTCACTGCGGGAACTTTGCTGCCCACAGGACTTTGACGGGGAGGTGGTTAGCTGAATTCCCAATTAAAAAATTAAAACAATATACATGGATATCCCTTTATGGCAAAACGTGTGATAGAATCCTTTTTGGGCAAATCAAATCACATGTCAGTCGATAGAAGTGACCAAACAGAATCTTTAGTACGCTGTGTTCTTTGGTTTGTGAAGCTGGCTGGAAATCTCTGAATCCGATCCTTGCAAATAGCCAATGGGTTGTCTTGATTCCTTTTAGGTACATCTTACATGTCTCATGATTTGTTTACTATGGGGTTCATAGTTTGATTCAAGCATCGGGTCCATGAAGTCAATCTTCATCCCACTTGTCAGGACTTCGTGGCAATTATCCTGTTGGTGATGTGGACTTTCCCAATCCAGGAGGCGTCATGCTGATCGGTTGAATAAAAAAAAATGTTGGCGTGCATGCCCAATAAATTCTAATTGATGTTCCATTTCGTTAGCCTAAAGATCTCCAGAGGTAATTGGTTGGGTTCTTTATAACTCATATATGTTAAGATAAAACCCCTGCTCTGCCTTGCTCCAGGCTTCCCTGGACTACTTTGAATTTTTTGCTGGCGTGGGGAACATCACCACACAGGCACGGGCCTGTGGCTACAAGGCATTGCGCTTTGATATCCTGGACAACAACAAGCCCCATGATAGGAAATCCAACTTTATGGACTTGAATAGCAGCTCAGGATTTGCGTCCCTTGACTAAAGGAAACATGAGACTGCTTATGCCCAAAATATCCCAACATGAATATCACCAATGTAACAAATTGGATGAGTTATCAACTTTGAGCAATTTTCCGGATTCTGTTCCAACTTGAACATCATGCAGTTAACAAACTAGATGAGTTTCAACTTTAGTTCTATTAGCAAAAGCTTTGAATATATTCATGTATACAAGATATCAACATATGGTTGGATTACTATGGATGATCGATTTCGATTTGGGACCAATCATCTCCTATGAGAAAAAGGCAGCATGTTTTTTCTCCACATTATGTATCTTTTTCTACCCCTTGCAGCTGCCTGCTTAGGCTAGCAGTGACTTGCTTGCTTCGAGCTCGTGTCCGTGACTTCTCGGCCCACTTCGCAATCAAATGTTCATCATTGTGTACCACGAATCAAGGAACATCAAAGAGATCACCAGCTTCTAGCACTGGCTTTACGGATTACCCATCAGTGTCTACAAGCAACAAACTTCTGGAGAGGAGCGGGATGGATCAATACCCTGTAATGCCTTCTAGCCTATATATATTATATATATATATGAAAACCAAAAAACTTCAAGTATATATAGAATATTTCACGGTTTATATCAATCATATGATCCATCTATGTTGGCCATTTATAGTTACCATGTGGGGATGGCGCCCATGCCCAGTTACCATTTTGATCAAAGACAAATTTGCACTGAGTCATAGGATCAAAACGTAAATAAATGTGCATACACATATGATCATACCTGCACAACTGTGTTTTGAAGCCTCTGCATCATGATAGATGTATATCCATGTGGGTCACGAAACTAATCACTATGAATAATGGTCATTCATTAGGGTTATATCTCGACATTATCAATAATCATCACCATCTTGAACATGACAAATGATAATGATAAGTCATGATAATTTTCATAGGTAGCGATCATCATGATTATCAATGATCACTATTATGAATCGTCATCACCAGGATGAATAATGGTCATCATGATAAACACCGATCACTATGATGAGTAATGATCACCATCTTGGTTTTGACTCAGGATCACCATGATGAAACTGATGATGCTTATGAACCATTTATGATCATGATTGTAAACTACTAATGGTCATTTTTGAACATAAGCATCATCATCAATATGAAGGATAAGCATCATTTTTCAAAATGATGATCATTATTCATCATGATGGTTAATATGGATACTTCATTAGGATTTCTTTCCTTGCCCAGCCAGTGTCTGAACTTTAGACTTTTTTCTCTTGGGTTCCCGCGCCTTTTGACCCTTAAAAATAGCCTAGTTAAGACGCGCGAACCCGAAACCAAAAAAAGTTTAAACCTTCCTCCAGAGGGATACCCACTGAGAAAGTTTCCAACTGCCACTTCCCGTCCTCCAGGGTTTGCTGCCTCATCTACTTGACGACCGCCTTGGGAGGCGCATGGACGGTGGAACAGCCGGATGGATCCGTGTTGGAATTCTACCCGACTTGGAGGACTTTGATGATGAACATTTTTGCCATTGGTGGCCAACTTGCTGCGCCCTAGCGAAATTAACTGTATGATCAAAACAGATGAATTGTTTTGGTTTGTGGTCATGAATGCGCAGGGAAAACAAGTGGTATCATGGGGTATCGCTATATATTTAACCACCGCTAATCTATATTGATGACTGGATATCCACCACATGGGATGATTAATGGTGATTGGTGTATGCTCAGGTTTATCATTGTCTATAACCCAAAGTAGTAGTTTGCCACAAGAGTTGGGAATTTGATAATGATCTGCTCCTAGATGCCCAGCAAATTGCCAAGGTAAGCAAAGTCAAATGGTATATGCAACACTACTCTGGGCCTACACCTAAGAGACACTATGGCTTCGCCAACACGCCTGCCATCTTGAAGTTAAACAGAGGACGGCTACTCAGGAATCAGCAGAAAGTGAACTCACAGCATACCAAGATCAAGACAGCTGATGTCTACTATGATAAAAAGGGTGTCAAGCGATGGAAAGGAAATACCAACTTGCGGAAAAGTGAGAATCTTGATCATGCTTTATGATGTTTCATACTTTGTCACTATGTGAGTTACTCTGATATTTAATTCTTTGTTCATATCAGATATGTTGGTTCCATTCAGTTTCACTGGTGCGCTCATATTTTCAACTTTAACATGACCAGTAGTTCTACTTTAGCTCCCACCATTTTGGATATATGTGGATATAAGATGATATAAAGGTTACTGGATTTATTAAAGACACCGTTGAACCCAAGGATATATCCTATGCCCTTTGCCCGGTGCCTCGTCGATTTGCTACCGGAGATGAAGTCAACGTGTGTGGGAACTCCTTTGCTGCCAGCAGAGGTGCCGGAGGCAGTGAAGAGCTTCAGCAGTTGGCCAGAGGTTCCACGTGATGAATGGCAATTCGTGGATTTTGGGGAAACCTTCCAGTACTTACGGGGAAACCGTAATCTCAAGATCCCTTCGCATTGGAGGGGAATCATTCCTGATCGCCTCGGGTAAGTCCAACTCCTAGTCATGCACATGTGTTCATGGCAATGCGGAGTTCTGTTCAAGATTTGCAACGTTATGGATCGATAAAGGTACATCATCATTCATTTTTTTGGAGAAATTGCGTCAATATCCTCGAAGAATGATATCCATCATGTGGCCACTCACATGTTTTTCAA